CTGTGTTTCCCGTCCTCCCGATTAAGCACCTTAAATACACAGGTTTAACTGGTTAAGTTGAGTGGCGGCTATTAGTGCTTGTTAGATGATACCTTAAGGTCAATGTCTTAGACGTGCTTCTCATATTAATGGTACCACATAGCTGAACTCTGTTATTACTTAGTAGTTGGTTAATCCTTCTTTAGGAATCTTATCACTTTTCGAGACCAATTTGCTCTTTTGGTCAGGCCTTTTCATTATAGAAACTGAGCGAACTTTCTTCCACGGAGGGGCGGTCGGGTAGCCTAGTGGTTAAAGCGTTCGCTCGTCACGACGAAGACCCGGTTTCGATTCCCGATGTGTGAAGCCCATTTCTGGTGTTCCCCGCCGTGATATTGCTGGAATATTACTTAAACGGGCTTAAAACCATACTCACTCACTCACTCAATTCTTCCACGGCAGAAAGGTTTGATCTAGCTCTTACCAACGTTTGAAGTAGCTTATAGAAAACAACCATTTTCAAGTACCCTATTCTGTATACGAATAATGCTTTGGACTTCGGGGAAACAAATCTTCTCGATCCTGCCCATTAGGGGCTGACCATTTTATATTCGTGGTTGAAGCACGGGAACAAAATTGTCCTCGGATTTTACGAAAATAAATAAATCGTTCCCACACCGGGTGTCCTGGAAATGTTTTCAGGGTTAAGAACAATTGAGTGGGTCCTCCTTTCCCACTGAAAATGGTGTCTATCGTTTGGGTAAATACAAGCCACTAATGCAGATGATGTCCTTTTTTTCCTCTCAGTCCCCTACCCCCTAACCCCACCGTTGAAATAATACATGTAAATTACTTTCAAACTACGGTCATATAGCAGCGCGTATAATTTTGCAAAATTTGCAGACACAATACTGTAAATGTTAATTTCTCAATAATGCTATCATACCCACAAGAGGTTTGTGATAAAAGTAATTATCGCCAACAAACCTTCGGACATACAAAAAATACACGGTTTCTTTTTCATACGACTACAGATAATCTGGCTGGTTGGTATAGTAAAACAGCCTTTCAAGTGTGGATGTTCTTTAACGTTTCTTGAGTAGTATATTAACATCAACCCACAATGTCAATCTGGAAGATGTGTCTGTGGTAGGAAATTGTTGAAATAAATAAAATAAATAAAAGCGTCATAACCATTTCCATAATCATATCAAAATAATCTTGCTGAAAGCAACCTATGTCATACAACACTCAAACATAATTTTACTAACGGTAATGCACAGTTATTACTCAGGCAATGTTTCCTTATGCAACTTCTCAGGCAACTTATTAACTTATCAGCACAGACACCCCTTTTGTTATTAATAAAAATGCTTCAAACTTGAGGAGTATGTTGATTAGCATAACATCAAGGTGTACAAAGCGTTCAATGTAGGTGCAAAGTGAACGCTTCAGGGCGGAAGGCTATTCCGCTTACCCAAGAACATATAGTTGATTCACCTTTAATCCCATACAGTGATGTCTGTGATTTGCGGGATGCAGGTCGTATTTCAGCATAATAGAATTTCTCTAAAATACATCCTATGAGGTAGTCGGTCACACAGTCCATAGACCATATATTCTCCCTCCCGCCAAGCCCTTACTGTAATGCTATGGCTCTGAATGAAACAAGTCCAGATATTCCACAGGTTCAGGTTCGGAATCTCCTTTCTCACTTGGGCCCCTTTGCAATTGAAATGTAACTGCTTGTTTCCACCAAAAGTATATATTTTCAGAGACTTAGCGTTAGAATAAACGTCTGCTGCCCCATGGTTGTCGTACGAGCCAAATGAAATGATGACATCGACGTACAAGTTGGTTCATCATGCGAGTCTTAACCCAAACACTGATGTGTATGGACTAGACCCAATTAACAATATATGTAACTTATAGGTTGCAGATATTAACAATATTCACTCACTCAAGATGGCCACTTGTGCAGGTGGTTTGGACAGAATTGCATAATACAATGATAATATACTCCTCAAAAGAAGTTAAAAAACATCATATTACTACGGGTAATGTCATGACATTACAGGTTAACTCCAGTAATGTAAAAAATAGAACAGGTTCTTCTTCTTCTTTTGAGTAGTGTATATAAACCTTGTGGCGAAACCACGTATCGTAAGTGTTCCCAGAGTGTACGAAGTACATGTTGCTTGTACGAGTCGTACTCAAATATTTACTAACATGTCGAGTTGACCAACATGTAACAGACACAACCAAGGTCTCTGGAAGATGTCTGAGACTGGGTCATTACCAACTGTAGATCTTCCACGAGCAATTACAACCACCCTCACCCCCAACACATCAGTGTCAGAACTATCCCGTTACATAAGGAAATCAAGCTGGGATTGGCTACTAATGGGCACGAATGCTTGGTATTTTGCTTCCTCGACTGACATTAATTGAATTAAAGCCCTAGGCAGTGACACGTTTTGTCTTAAAATCCCCTGAACAAACGGTTTACACGAGATAAATCCACCTAAGTCTGTATTTATATTGCAATTTGGGTCAATCAAATATTTGTGGCTAATGTTAAACACACCCAGAGAACAGAGTTGGTATCAACGTAACGTCAAGGTGTACATACATGCAACTATAGCACATTAAGGGATATTTGAGGCAAACAGTCACCACGTCTCTGTATTGTCTGTTCTTTGTCTACCATACATGTCTTTTACAGGAACAGAGTGTTATGACTTTATTAATATTGACACGATGGAATTAATGGCAAAACAAATTATTCAAATGCACGTGTAGCTATCCAAATGGCAGGAACGTCAACTGCATTCCAGAGATTAAATATACCTATATGATCACTATTCTAAGTAATGCCACTGACTAGTTTGAAGTAACACACCCATGACCCATACTGTTTGGAAATGAAACATATATACACTCAACACGAGTAGATAGCACCATTATGTACACAGGGATCGGTGTGGTGCTTCAGTTACAATGAACATCTGTTTCCGTTATCTGGAATAACCCAGACAGCACTGACCAGACGATGACCAGTATATCTCATCAGCGGACATAGCGATGACCAGTACGTGCAGAGTGATGGCATGAAGTTGATCTTTGGTCAGAAAGAGATCGCGATGACTGAAGCATTGAGTGATAGTAATTGAAGCAACGTGTATGTGTACAGACACCGATATATGTTTGGTATGTGTACCGAGGGTCGACGTTTACATTGTACGAAACGTATCGAAGCAGCCACATTCACTTTCGTTAAACCTAACCAGTGACCTGTTCTGTTCGACATAGCCGAGAAAAGGAAGCATTGTTGCTACGTATACAGATGCCTTTGAATCCTGATCTCTGAAGATTTATCCCTTTTGTAGCTTTTTCTATGTGAGGTGAAATAGAGTTTAACGTCGCGGTAAAAGGTATTGCAGTTATACATCCACGAGCGGATGCACGTCCGTGCACGTATGTGTGTGTGTGCACACGTCCGGGCTAATGTTGGTTTCATAGTGCCAGCCAACTCAGATGCAATACCATGCCATGAAGTTTAACATAGCTACCCCGCACAAACACAGTACTCTGAATATATTGTTTTAACCCATAGATGCCGAACGCCACAAGGGAAACAAGTATTCTAACGTCGTTTGGTATGACGAGGATCGAACTACAGACCTTCCGCTCTCCCGGTAGACGCTCTGGGCCCCTGAGTCGGTGTTATGTTTCATGTGACTGAATACATGATCTTTAACGCCGCAATTAAACTTCTCATTCTATGACAGTTATATCACCAAAGAATGTAGATAGGCAAGTGGTCAATGATCAAATCCGTGGGGGTACGATGACAAACATTGTTACACTGCTATCATCACTCTAGTTACTCTTCTAAAAGGTAAAGGCTATTTGTTGCATACAAAATTCACAACGAGGAATTGCAATGAGACAGTGATACGAATTTGAAACTGTCTACGAAAATTGCATTTAAGTGGACGTTACGTGTTTTTTGTTTGTCGCTCTAATCATTGCTGTAATCTTAGTGATTGGTAACATAATCAATAATGTTACCAGAATGAATTGTGAAATTGTATTGATGTTTGCTTAACTACATATTGACATGCATATTAATAATACTCATGACCTCACAGAAACCTACATGGAAATTGTACGTATAAAAGTCAAAGTATTCCACACAGTGTTGAGGCTGTGTGGCGAGTTTTAATGCCCCAATCGACCTATCACGGCAATTTGCAAAAACTAAAACACGTGACATTAAACGACCGGAGGCGTAAATATAAAGTCAGTGGTGGGCGGAGTTCATTGATAATGTAGTTCATGGATAATGTAACGAGAAATAAATATTTTTCTTTTTATCACTGAAACTAATATAAGAATTCAACATGTTTGTCTTGGTGAATGTGGGGGCACGGGCGTCCGAGTCTTCTAGGCTTCGCAATTCGCTGCGCACGTGGGTTCGAATCCCGGTTCGCTCTTATTATGTTTCTAGATATGTTAGCACCATATCCATGCTCAGTGGTAAACGAGACGTGCATCACTTAGGGATTTCCTCCCACATTAATCTCACACGCTGTGATTTAACTTGAATACTGTTCAAAGCGGTGTTAACTCACTCACTCAGTAATATATTTTGAATCACTGAAACCAAAATAAGAATTCAACATGTTTTTCCCAGTTATTGTTGCCATGGGACTCTATAGTCACAGGCTTACGACCGAGGACGACGAGTCTTCAATGATTCAATGTGGCCTAGGTATCGATCTCTACATTTTACACTGAAGCACGTATTGTCTTCTCGGACAGATATGTCTACCATATAACAGTGATACACGGACCTAAAATACGACATGTCACTATTATTAGAGCCAAGCTGTCATACTATGAAGTCGACAACGGCGATAAACCATTTATCCAGAACCACCATGGTCAGTCTTACAAACACGGTACTATCATCTAAACACAGAAATCTACAAAAATACAAACTCACAAAAACTTACGTCTGTGACTTTGCAATTCTTTTACTTTTGTATGATGCCGCTTGAAGAAACCGAACAGAAGCAGGTTCAGCTGAGATAGCAGTTCTTTTGCTTCTTTCACGCACGGGGCCATGGTTTGTGACCCTGGAGTTCGACCTGTCGGTGACGGGTTTGAGAATGGAGCGGTATTTGTCAAGTTCTTGATAGAGTCTCTGTATGAGAGCATCCTTTTCGTCCAGCTCCCCCTCCAACTCGTCAATGAGGTCATCCCTCTGCCTCAGCTCCTCGATCTTCTCCTGCAGGGCCAGTTGAAGATCCCTAAGAGTCCCCATGATCCCCGAACCTCGCTCGGTCGCGGGGCACGGCTTCGGCATTCACCCGCCCTAGTTAAAACCACAGGATAATCTGATAAACCTCCACGAACCTTGATCCAGCCTCCGCCCTACGAGGTGCTTCCACTCAAGAATGCACGTAGACAAATTCTTCTAGGATGTTTCAAACGGCGGCTCGGCAATGGATAGGCCCTGAATTTGTTCAGGAAACACCACACATATCACCTGTTGAGAAAACCTAAGGTGTTTCATTTTCTAACAGGTGAAAAAATTAGTAGTCATTAAATCCTCAGTTTGAACATAATGTAATCACCCTTCTGTGTTGTGATGTTTGCCATCCTACGGAGACCGTTAAAGTCACCACAGAATTACACGTGGTATTGAAGATACTGGATATAGATATACCTATGTGTCGATTCTATGACGGGTTATATTTCTGAAACAGCGTGGGCGTTTAATTTCACAGACATGTTAAGAAAGTCTTAGTTCAGCGAAATGTGACACCCGTCTTTCTTAAATATATTTTATATACAGGTATAAAAAACCTCAATAGATTGCGACATATCAGGTCAATTAATGTTTCTGTAACATACACCTAGTGTCATCTTCAGTAGACCAGACTACATGAAAATGAGGGATGTGAAGGAGAAATATGAAACCTACCTTGTTTATCCATCAATTATTAAAAACACATATATCCAATTTCGCGGTCCACACAAACATTAACTCCGACAGAATAGCCTTCGTTGGTGAATCCTTTCGCAACAGAAGCTTTAACTGTGAATCTGACGGAGAGTATTCCTACACCTCAGGGATAAAACAGAGACTCGTTGAACAAGACACTAATCTTCTTAATGAAAAGTATTTGAGCTTCAGAATTCCTCGGCAGAGCTGACAGCAAAACATTGTGTCTTCCTCCTCCGCGTTACAATCTCGCCTAGACTTGCATCGCATCAATCAAACGCGAGACTGGGGCGGTGTGAGGCGATGCTTTTGTTCATACTCTTCCGTCTGTAGAATACCTATGGCCACTCCTAGAAGAAAACAAACTCCAAACTTCACCGCATCCCGTTTCCCGACCTTTGACACTGTCCCATGACCTCCGACCTGCGCAGCCAACTGACCAACATTCTGTGACAGCGCATGTCCTGTGTCAATGACGACGAGGTGCTATCACACGAAGCACGTGAAGAGCTAAGAAACATGCGTGCTTTCCCCTTCAACCCTTGCAGAAAATAAAATCGCTTGATATCTCCACTGGTATCGGTTTACACTTGAGGCAGTGGCCGCTGAATGCACGAAGCGGAGGGTAGGTTACAGGCAAGGCGCGCGCATTGATAACTGCGAGTAACTAGCTTTCCTCGAGTGAACGAGCAATGCACTTTTTGCTGAAGGTGTTGAAATAGAATTGCTCATTTATCTAACGACGGACTGTCGCGGCTATCGGTAATGAAATATTGTGAAACAGACACTCAGAACCCAATACACACACCAATGAGTTGCCTTCAGGACATCTGTGGAATATTGTTGAAGATGTCTCTTACATTCATTCGTATATTCTCGTCGAAATGATTAGAATGGGCAAAAAAGGTATCGTCTTCGCATTGCCACCTTTCACGTTTGCGTGATTCGAATATAATCATTATTTGAATTCTGAACGCTTATAGACAAATAAACAAGGATGAATACATACAGTTATGACCAAAGCTCCCTCCCTGCACAGCAGATATACATGTAATGAAATATTAACTTGTATTATGAAGCGTACCTGCAGGTTTTTTGTTCAGCCTTACACGTTGTAGTGAAAACAAAATCGATCACAAGTCGATTGATTAATTCCGACTATATCATGAGCATGTGTTTATGAATCGTTATCAAATGGGATAATACCAGGTGTTCGCAAAAAGATGAGCGTATCCTGTCACATCGGTGGCATCCGTCACAAACACATACAAAGGCAAATCAACTGTTCACCTGAAGGAAAAACACGGGGACATACGGTTCAAGTCAAAATAGGGAAATGCATCATAAGTTTTTGGTCACTGTTGCGTCAAATTCATAGTGACTAATGTGAAACTAGAATATATATATACATAATAATGTATTTTATGCTTTTAGACATTTTATATCATATTCGAGCTTGTACTATGGTTGTTATTATGTATAGGTTTAAGGTCATTGCCCGTAGGTAACGAATTAAGACCACGACAACATAGACCAGAAAGTAGACACTGTGAAGTGTGCGAGAAGGAGGACGTTTTTCATAAACAGGTAAAACAATTTTTAATTGAGTGTATACCATATGCTCCTGAGATGATGAGCTAATGCCATACACACGTTTACCTAGTCCGATCACGCTAACGTACCACTCCTGAATCCGTGTTGTTTAGACACCGGAAGAAACAAAGATGGTCTGTGTCTGACAGCTGTAATCCACCAGATACATTTGAACCTCTCTAATCCAAACTCGCGAACCTTGCTTAGTTTTGAATTAACATTTATTGGTTTCCGGATTAATGAGGTTATACAGTAATCAAACCATCAACGGCCTATCCTTAAACTCCTTCGCATATACCATCCCTACATACCTAGGATAACATATTTGAGACATTATTACTGTTAGTTAATGCTGTGTATCTAAATCACCGCATATCCAATACCGACTTTGGGTTTCTGTAAACCTACACAGATGATGCCAATCAACTTGCGATCGTTTTACTGGCAGTTCTCTTCTCCGACATAACGTTAGAATTCGTTTTAAAGGCAATTCTCTTCTCCGACATAACGTTAGAATTCGTTTTAAAGGCAATTCTCTTCTTCGAAATCACGTTAGAATTCGTTTTAATGGCAATTCTCTTCTCCGACATTACGTCAGAATTCGTTTTACTGGCAATTCTCTTCTCCGACATTTCGTTAGATTTCGTTTTACTGGCTATTCTCTTCTCCGACATTAGAGAATTCAGGCATGTCAAACACAATAAGTTTATCAGTTTGTGACAATTTAGGTTGCTAAACACGTCATCCATATTCCTGGACCAAACACAGACGTAGAAGTTATGATATACTGTAGTATACATCTTAACTAATTGTATGCTTTAACAACGACCACCAAGATGGTGTTGAAGCTCAGCTTATCGTTACAAATGACTAAACCTGCACTGGGCAACACCTTGGTCGTGTAGCGACTGCTCATCTCGGCTATATCCACCGTTGTGTGAGTTGTAGAGGTGGTTTGAAGTTAAGTAAAGCGATGTTACGAGTATAACATGTTTATTTTCATAGAAGATGTCGTTGTTGCACCCAAGTTGGTGTTTATGTGTTTACTTTCACGAAATATGTGACTCGCATGCATCTCGACACGTTTGTCAGCATGATTTATTATCTGAACGTGAATAAACATATTAATATAAAACCGAATGTTAACGCTACATATATTCTAAAGTTACATCAGTGTCGGGTGCCAAGCGACTCTTTAATACGCAATTGGCTGAAGTATGACAATTAACATGAACATCAATGAACGATCAAAAGTAGTGCTAATTGAATATAAATTGTCAATGCAAGGGAACAACCAGTCTACATTAGGCGCCCAAACAGATTCCGTTTGGCGTCAAATGGAAAACAGCTGCCACAATTATATGAATATCAGTGATGACTAATGGACTAGATGTACTTATGTTGCGAGATTGTTGACGCAGAATGTTCACAATGGCAGAGACCCTGACTGTATTAACGCTTGCACAACAATCCTGAAGCGTGGAACTAATATGTTAACTAATACATTCTGCAGGTAACAGCAATTACAAATCAAAGCTATCGACATCAGGATATCCTTCATTTTCACAACCTCCCGCGAGATTCGATCCTGCCTATCAACAAGCCATCTGCTGCAATTGTTTAGACTGCTAAACCAACTGTGCCCACTTTCTGACAACAAAGACGTGACGTGATTGAAATAACCTTCCAAGGAGGAAACGTTAGACTCCAATTAAAGCTTTAATTGATTCTGTAACTGGCTGGTGGGTGTTATTAGGTGTTATTCACTCAGCTCACCGTCGTCTGGGTGTTGATTGGTGTAAGTCTAGCCAGGTAGGGCCATTACTATAAGCTCCCTACAACAGACGGAACGGGCGTTTGAGCGCTTAACAGTAAAAGTGAGACCATTCGAGGTCGATTGCAAATTTGGTAAAAGGGGCTTGAAGATGTCCCGAACATAAACACAGAGGACGAATCAATATCATCCGTTCTTATTAAGTCGATAGGATACCTTATGGTATTACATGAAACAATTGCCTTTAAACCTCTTCTGTGCTAACCTCTTTGAGAGCCATTTGAGAAATACCACTTGCTTGATAACTGTGTTAGAACCTTTACCGAAACGTTGCTCCTAATTATGATAAAACATCGTTCATCCATCTATCTTATCCTCACTTGCCTCTTCTGTGCTGTTATCAAATGTAGTTGAGTTTACTCAAATGTATTTCGCATTATGGTGCTGTTGACATTGCTGTTTTTATGATCGAGTTACACAATTTGAATATTAAAATTAGCATATAATATATAATTTCGATAGCTTTTTGGTATATTATTTCAAGTTTTTAATGGGATGGCACGTAGCTCTCAAAACCGGAGATACTTCTTATTTCATCGCGTGTGACCAAACATTCCGTTTATGTTGACAGGGTCGACACGCAGCTGAAGCACTCATAAAATACTAGGAACTATTAGACTTAGGAAATCGTTACCTTCACCATGCATGATTAAATATATAGAGGATATTTAATGTGTTTTCTCAAATACCACTTTTATCTCATCGAGTGAAGTGGGGAGAGTCTAATATTTTCACGAGTGACGCTGTCACGAGTAAAAATATTAGACCCTCCCCACTTCACGAGATGAGATAAAAGTGGTATTTGAGAAAACATTGAATTTTCTATTTATTATATACATGTTTTATTTTTATTACTTGCAATATATATATTTTATTGGCGTAGGAATACATAAACAGTTAGTCCTGTGACCATGTCGAACGATCAGCTGAGCGCTCTCCAGGCTTACAAAATCCGCCAAATTTGATCAAATTTTCTCACAGATAAGTATGAAAGTTGTCATAAACACATTTATAGAACCCCGAACATTTTAACTGAAACATTGTTGCTTGCTGTCATGAATGAAATTAGGAAAGTTCAATTCTCGGAAAATTCAAGCGGGCGCTTCTCGCCTCGGCGGTACGTCTCGCTGTCGCCAGTTGTGCCTAATGTCTGGCGAAGCATGGCCGGCGCAAGAGTGATAGTAACATTGCCATAGATGTTATTTCCAGACATCAGACTCGTCAAAAAGTTCCACGGGTCAGTTGAAGAGAAGTTATGCACCTGCGGTTGAGACTGAGTACGGTCGGCATCCGGCACCTTGTTTAAATCAGTCACTAGTGACTGATAACTTGATCTATCGTCACTGATAAATTCCAGTATTTCATTCATATGTATATAATAAATCCACATTCATGTGACTTTTTGCATGTGTCATAGAGAGATACCCGTCGTTGTACGAGGTGTAAAGGTCAACAGATACATCTACACAGTAACATCACCGGAATAAAGGAGTCCCACGAAAATGTCGAAATATAAATGGTTGAATTAATTCCTACTCAGACGATGTGCACTGAGGCTGTCTTATGTAGTCATTTAGTCGGATGAGCGGATAATGACATTCCCAACTCGACAAATCAATTAAAGTCATAAGTCATGAGTTACTGACCGCAAAAAGAGTGTGCTTCGATTCGGGACATTTTCTCTATACCGTCACGTTTACTCTCTGAATTTCACCTACTCTAAACATGAAAATCTATATACAATGACTGATGAGATACCGTATTGAATTATGCGTTTAATATAGTTTCATTCCAATGTTAACTCAACCACGGAATACAATCGGTCATAGTTTTGATAATACCTTTCAACATACCAATGATACACATATTCATAACATGCCGAATATACCAAGGAATACATCAGGTATATTTGAGATGCCATATTCTCGTTTCAGTCATTTCTTTAGTTTCCAAAGGGACAACTGGGGTGGGCCAGTGGTAATAGTGTCTGCTCTTCACCACGCGGGCCCGGTTGGATTCCCCACATGTGTACGATGTATGAAGTCCACTGCTGGTGTCCCCCGCCGTGATGTCGCTGGAATATTGCATAAAGCATAAACCCAACTCACTGACTCACCCCATTCCCAA